TGAGCTGCACTGATAATAATTTATTAACGATATTAATGCTAGTTATATGGGTTTGCATTATATGGTGCATTTTGTTGGTTATCTAATTGCTGTCTGTTGCTTATGTATTCTTAGCTCATCAGCTAATGTGCGCTTATAGTTGCTACTAAAGCTGACAAATGATAAAAAGCATTAGTACATAATTAGGTTGCCATGAAAACCACATATTTTCATAATCAAACTCAAAAACTAAAAGAGCGTTGAGATCGTCAGTAGTCGCTTCATCCCACAGGAGATCATTAAGTTAAAACATGGAGCCGGTTTCTGTTGTAGACTGCATGTCCAGTAGGTGCTGGGGCCTCTTACCGGGTGGTTGATCCAGCTGTTGGGGATCTCAGGTCGTCCTCTGTCACGGAGAACGCTGTCCTTCATGCTCTCCACACACGGGTGCTCCCTCAGGTTGCCGAAGGGCGGCTCGTACTCTTTCACCTCTGCACGTCAGCACAAGACACAGGTTCAAAAAACATCATCAAAATGTTACGCTTCAGTAATGCACTTCAGAGCAGACTCGCATGTACAGGACTGATGCAGCTCTCTTGAATAGAGCAGCTGGATCAGATGGCAGCGGCCCACATCGCACGCAGCCACAACACCTGTCAAAGGAGCCACTGTTCGCTGGAAATTAAAAGCTGCAGGTTGCAAACTGTAAAAAGCAGCACAGACAACTCCACTGATAGAAGGGCCGAGAGATTTGCTGAGGAGAAACACTTTTTCACCACTTTTTCTTTTTTTTTTTACCGTCAGCATTAATACGCTTTAAGTACCTCACCATCGCAGCTCTGGCGTTGTGTCCGCTCGCATGCACAACAAAACGCAGAGTGCTTCTCAAAGGCAAATTAGCATTCAGGTTTACTCGGGGGCAAGATTTCAGAGCACCGAAGAGGAGGATGCAGTTTGCAAACCTCGGGTCAAGAGTTTGCAAAGAAAATGTACTCTTACATAATATATCCTTGAATAAATAAACAACAAATACTACTCTGTTTCACTTTGAAGTGCGGAGGGCCTGCGTGAGGAAGGGGAGCCGCTGAGATGAGAAAAGCCTGACGATGTACGTGACTATAGAAGAAGTATAGAGGTAAATAATTAGCTGGTTTTCAATAATTAGGAATAGGAGTGAATAGTTTGTTTGTGAGCAAGAGTACGCAAAAAAGTACTCAAAGGACTTCTAGGAAACTTGATAGAAGGATGGGACATGAACCGAGAAGGAACCCATTACATTTTGGTTCTATTAATTTTTTCAAACCTAAATAAACCTAAAGCTGGACCTGCATCTTTTACACTCTTGTTTATTTGAACAGTTCACCGACAAGAAAGTGTAATTATTAAATCAGGAACTAAACAAACACACATAAACTAACAAAAAGTAAAAGTAGATTTGTTCTGCATTTTGCTCTACATATGAAAATCTGTCCCTGAGAGTTTAGAGAACTGGAACAAAGCAGCGACTGCTGGGGTCAGCGAGTTGTGGAGGAATCAGCTCAGTCACGAGGTAAACATGTCGCTGTAACGTATATATGTCAAAGTTAAGGAATGAAAAATCTACAACTGCTGCTGAATGTCTGGAACGCTGGAACAGACAATCCACTTCTAAGTAAACTGTTTGTAGGATGAACCAGTGGATGGTTACAAAGAGGCTCACAGGAAGTTATGAAGCCTGCAGACAGGAAATGGAGACTTCTGGGACACAGACTAATACAACAGAGGGCTTTTCTCAGAAGTTGAAACTTATTTTGTGAGCAAAATTCCTCTGGTTCAAGGGGGAAAACATCTTAAACAAAGCCCCACCCAGCCATTGGTCAACATTTAAGGAGAAAGAAAAAGGAGACAGATGTTTGTCTTTGTTTTGACAGGTCTGAGCGAGTGTTTAACCATATTCTGGACTTTATAAACCATCAGGCAAACATGTTTACGTGTTCATCCCCAAACAATGGGCCCAGAATATTTGAATCATACTAGTGAGCTCTCTGCCGTGTAAACAATTGTGTGTATTCTAGGATGGAGGGACCAGACAATCCCGCTCGAAAAGGAGCGGTGGTTTTTCCGGGGCGAACCTTAAATTAAACTGGGCAAAAAGCTATTGAAAAACACAACACAGGGTCAGAGAGGAATGCTGTGGTCTGCAAAAGTCACACGCTGCATATTGACAAGATTTCTGCACAGAGAGAAGAACTTCTGCTGTGTCTCCGGCGACAGCTGACATGCAGTGATGGGAATTCTGCAATGCCGGCATATATTTTATCCTTAAATGTCCCTTTCTCAGGACAGTTGTCAGGAATCTGCAGACGAGAGAAGCTCGGCTGAGTTTAGCTTCAGTGGCCAACTTCTCAACCAAGTTTCCAAAGTTTTGCGATTAATGTTTAGATATCGGTGCTCAAAGAGATCTGCTAACCCTTTTACATCATCACAAGCAGATATTTTGTTTGATTTTCTTGTGCCGCTGCTTCTCAGAGTGAACATTTTTGTCTAATTATCCTCAACAAGGCATAAATAAAGAAAATCCCATCACCTAAACACATAAATAATGCAGGGAAGCTGATCCAAGCCGAGTTTGAACATGCACTTGGAAATAAATTAGTAATGTGATCACAATAACATTGTCTGTTTTCCAAAGTCTGCGTCTGGAGTAACAGCTTGACTAATCCACTCACAGCCGCCTCTGCTGGTTTTGATTAGGCTGCGGTGGCTGTGACACTTGTTTTGTGTTGCTCACAGGCTGTTAAAGACATTTAGTGCAGATGCATACATGTGCGGGGCGTACTTTGGACATATGGCAGTGACTAACCCTGGAGGCTAACCCTAGCATTAACTATAGCTGATACATACACTAACCTTCACCTAACCCCATTAAAACACCACCAGAGCTATTTTGGCTGGATGAAGGTTTAATGAAACCGAATTGGGCACAAACACAAATTCTGTCTCTGATTCATCCCCAATCAAGACATAAGTTCCCCCAATTGTGGGATATGGCAGAAGCACCACACACACCCACACACTCACACACACACACATACCCACACAAGTCCACCAGGCCCTCCAGTTCTAGAGGAGCTGCTGGTCTGACATCTGGAGCACAGCTGCCCTAACCTCTCCTCCTCTCCAGTCTAGCCCAACCTCTCCCTCCAGGGACCGAAGGTATTTCTCTGTCTGCAGCTCCACGTTAAACACCACTCCACTATTATCCCACTACTTAGCCCCACCCGCCAGAGGAACGCCCTCGCAGTCTTTTCCAAGCCCTAAATCTGGACCAGCTAAATTATACAGGAGAACAGAGGCGGAGATAAAAAGGCCTGAGCCTTGGATCCAGCTTTTCCCTTCTCTCCGAGGTGTGTTAATCTCCCTGTTTCCCTCTCGTTCCAGCCTTTCCTCTGTCTTTACAGTCTTGGAAGATAAAGAAAGCAAAGCGACGGCTTGTGGCTGCCTGGCTGACGGGCGCTGTCGACAGACGGCTGTGTTCTCCTCACCATCTGAGAGCAGACCACAGCCCGAGGAACCGTGACAGAGCGCGAGGTGGCCGCCTGCCACCGAGACGCTGAGATAGCTGATCAGACATCTGTCCTCTACGAACAAACACACAGACACACACACACTCACACTCACACACACACACACACAGGCAGGTGGCATCAGATACAAGAGAGACGAGTGGAAACTTTTCCCAGGTCATTAAAATTTTGCTCTGGGAGTCGTGCGTGTTTCGTCTCTAGCGAGGTGAGTTCTCAGAGATTCAAGAGTGACTCATCGACCTCCAGGGACAACTTGGCAACTTCAGGACGACTTTCTGAGAAATCAGTCAACATCAGTTTCCCTCTCATTCATTCCAGACCTCTGCCATCATACTATCACTATCTGCGAGGACAGTTTTAGCAGCCAGTCGAGCCTCTGGGCCCATCAAGGTAGAAAACTTTCTGCATTTATTCAACATTTTAACCTTCAGGATGAGAACCGTCTCCTTGGGTTTTCAGCTTAATGATCCACAGATTTCATCCCCCACTCGCCTCGGAGAGCTGCCAAGGCAAGAAAAAAGTGGATGGAGATATGCAGAACATGGGAAAAACACATGCACTACCCCAGCGGCTTCTATCTTTAGTCCCTGCTCTGGTCCAAGGGTGGGACGGGAACCAATCTGCTCCCCTCCCCCCTCTTTCCAGTAAATCTACACCGGCCTGTCCTCCCTGTCTGCCTGTGCTGGCCATGAGTAACGCTGGATGACTGTCTGCAGCGTTGCGGCGCAGGGAGAGAGTAATTAATTGCTGTCTCACCTGTCTCAGGGTAAGAAGAAGAAAGAAAGAAAGAGAGGGGGAGAGAAATGTGGAGAAGCTGAGCAGAGAAAGACGAGTTCAGACGACGAAGAATGAAGAATTTCCGTACAGTACAACATGTACGTTGCCGGTGCTACAAAAAAAGATATCGATGAAAGAATTTAAAGCGGGTGCATCCATGGGATACATTTCTGTGTTTGAAACAAAATGTGTATGTTTGTGTGTGTGTGTGTGTGTGTGTGTGAGGAGTGTGATATAAGGCTTTGTGTACTTGCTTGTGTGTGAAGTGAAGTCATTGCTATCCTACTGTAGTCTGTTGTGTGAGTAAAAACCATATTGTAGAGTCCATACCAAACACCAAACCCAAATGTTATGCCTTTATTTAATGTATCTATTGTATTTAATGTTTGGGTTTGAAGCCAGCTAGCTTTGTAACTAAGACAGAGACGTTACAAACTGGTGAGAGAAGTTAAATGAAGGAGAATGAAGCGATACTTTCACACTGTAGATCAAACCCCCAACAAACAAGCGTGCAAGGTTGAATGCACACGTGCACCCACACACACAGCGTCACATGTTTCAACTGGGTCTATAATAATGTTTGCTGTCTACCACAGTTCCCGTTTGTTGAGATGTAAATAAACACTAAATAAGCAGCTGCAAGCATAAACTCAGAGGTGAATAAACTGGATGGATGAGTAGGATGAATAAAGCTTTTGTCCCTCAAGAGGAAACAAAGTGAACTCCGGACTGATCCAGCTTGGATTAATTTGGTCCATCTCTATATATCCTGTCTGGTCTGCTTTCAGGAGACACTCGCCACAAAACATCATCCACAGAGTTAACTTCCCTCTAAAAACAGTGCGTCCTGGGACTGCGCTCTTTGCAAAACAGGAAATCGTCTGTTTTGTTTTCAAAGGTGTACCCACAGGGCACACACTGTATATTCTTACTGTTGGGAAGGAAAAGCAAAGGGGATTGTGGGTCACATAACCATGTTTTTTCTCTTGGGCAACATAACTGTGCGATACATTTCAAGGGGGCCCCCTGGGGGTCGGTTTCTGGGGGCAAAACAGGAAAAAGCCAAAGTAGAAGCGTTCATGCCCAAACACTGCTTTCAATCACAACGCTGACACAATGGAGACAGGAGCAGTCACAGAAACAAACTGGACCACAGAGACACTAAAGGGAAGTGAGAACAAACGACTGACTGTCGACGTGAAATACTGCCGCGCAGTTCTCCTTCACGTAATCACCCATTTCTATTATTTGCAGATATCCTGGCCTTGTTTTTGCTTCGGCAAGACAAACACGAGGGACGCGACATTAGTGAAGTGAAAGCTGATCCTTGAGACGTCGACGAAGATGGATCGTGTCCCTTTTAGGTTTTGTTCCCACAGTGATTAATGGAACATGGAGGACACACACATAGGTGCAGTCACACATCCAGTGAGTGAGCTCGAGGTGGAGCTGGTCACTGGGCTTCTAATTGGTAAAGTCGTCAATGTGCTTGTTCTCCTCAGAGGTGGAGCGAGCCAGGGAGGCGATTTTTGTCTTTACAGTATTTCTGAGGATCTTTACACACAGTCCGAAGGGAATTTCCGTAATCAGTGCTGCGACTGATTTCCTTTCCTCTCAATCATTCGGGCTAATCTCTAATTTACCAAGGAAAAACACACTTATCTCTATTTTCAACTAAAGGTCACCAGTGATGTTTACTGTGTGAACAGTGGGGGCAACACATAATGGGTTTAGAGGTAAAAATATATTTAGAGAAGATGTGCACACAACGCAACTGATCATGATCAACAAAGAGAAAACCGAGGGAAGCACGTTCTGGTGAGAATTACAGCAGACATTAAAAAGCTCTCCCATGTTCCTGTCTTGTTTTTTTTACAAGGATTTATGTGCTAGACTATTATTTTTGGCTGACATTCCTGAAACTTTTGTTTTTACACTCGCTGTCTCTATTTGTCTGGCTGAAGTTTGATTTGAAGATATGAGAGTGGCAGCGATCTTCTCATCTTACTCTCCCGCTGCGTTCTTCATATGTGAAAGACATAAACTCCAGAGTTTGTCTTTCCAAGTTGACGTCTTTGTCGCCGTCTTCTAAGTGTATGACATCTCTTTAAATAAGACTCGGGCATTTGTTCTCACATACAGCCTCTCTGGATAATTTCAGGACAATGTCCGTAGTTCAGTGCACGTCTGACAGCAGCTTAAGTGCATCTCCCTCAACCCATCAGGAGGCGTTCAAATCCTCAATGAAAGCAAATATCCACAATAGTATTTGAGAGAGACACTGTCGTCAGCCCTGCTGTTCTCTGCTGACTCAGAATCTCTAAAGAGCGACAAGCCAGATGGATAATATAAATACCTATTCTTATATTTCCTGTGTGGTTCAGTTAAACTGCCTTTGGCCTGGATACAGGCCCAGATTGTTGTCTACATCTTAAGTGTTCTTTCTTCAATGCAGCCAACTTCAACACAGTTAGAAAGGTCTGCAAACTGTAAACCTAAATTTGGGTTTTTCTTTACTTACAAAATCCTTCATTCATTTTAATATCAATTAATTATTCATTCAAAGCCTAATTTATCAGTTTACTTTAAGATGCTCAACCTGGAAGAGCAAAATATTTTGATGAGGATTCAGAGGAGGTTTTGAAGTCCCCGGATCTGACGGCTCTTCTGGATGAAACTATCTGGCATAAAAAAATAAACAGCTTAACAGTTTACTCCACAAAATGTTTGCTGTTAGCAGCTTCCATCTAAAGCCGACGCATCAGCCTTCGATTTCAAATACTGATCAGATGACGTCATTAGAAGAAGTGTTAATTTCTCTCATGGAGGCATCACAGAAGATTATTAAGAGTCGTGCACTTTATCTTACCTCCGATTGCACTACACCTGGAAATGATCTCCCACAGTACGAGAGCCATGGAGTAGACGTCAGCCTGTTTAAAAGACTCAATGTTTTCTAGGTTGATTCTCGACTCCAACACCTCTGGGGCCATGTACCTGGCCGTACCCACCTGAAGGGAAAAAAAAAAAAGAAAGGGTCCGCTGATGATAACCACAATTACACACAGTAAACATACCTGATATTTTCCATCAAGATCCATAAAACATATCTCTTTGAAGTCTAACAACATTGTTAAATCTTGCAATGGTTCCTTCCACTGAGTAAACTCGCTCACAAACAAACAAAATGAAAAGAGTGAAAAGAGTAATGCCGAACTGCATATCAGTTAAAAAGACTTTAAAAATGAGCATTTGTATCCAATATTCAGGCAGGAACGTTTAAAATATGAAGAATTTCAAACAGAGTTTGGTGGATTTGTTACAGGAACCAAGGAATTATGGGTAATATCCACCATTGAGTTATGTTTTAGTCCAGTGAGCTGGACTTCACTCGCAGAGCAGCTGTGAACAGAGTCATACACTGTGTTTTTTCTCGACAAGAAAACCACTTAATCACTCAAACACGAAGCCCAACAGAATTAACCACCCTGTCTAGCTGCAGAGGGCGCTGTTGCTCAGTGAAAGTTACACAGTGTTGCTTTAAACAGGGCAAGACATCTCTGCAGTATGAAATTATAAACCAACATTAACCTAAGGTGGTATGACAGGTGGTTATTTCGTGCTTTAGTAAGATGTCACATCGTATTTATGAGAATCAAAACATGTTTGATTTATTAAATAACTTACAAAACAAAGGAAGCTTAGAGCTTAACAACATGTTGATTGTCTTCACAAAATTACCGCTTTGGAAAATGTGTTCAATGGTGCTTCCTCCAAGGGCAGTGCAATGCATTAGGTGTGAGGCCATTTTTTTTATAAGGAGTCATTTTCATAATGGAGTCTAATATGACTCTGGTCTATTCAGCGTAATGAGTCCATTAAGAATCAATCAAGCCTGTTTGCCTAGTGACTATAATAAAATGACAACCTAGGAAGAATTACAGCATAATGTCTATCAACACGATCCATCTGGGGATAAGTTACAGAGAATGGCAAATCTTTAGAGCTGGTTTCCCTGAGCGATGATGATCAGAAATGAAAAGTTTGATTGATGGTGTGGCTCGTTTCAGGGTCGAATAAATACCTTCACAGAAATATATATATGACAGGGCTTGGAACGGCCTGTGTCAGGGGTGCCGGTGCAAATTATAACAGGAGATGATTTATGTCTTATCTCTAAAGGGATCAAAAGCCAAGTGTGAAAGACTTACCTGCCCACTGTTGGCCAGCTCATCCACTGATAGATTGTTGTCCAGGCGCTGTGCGAGGCCAAAGTCGCACAGGCAGCAGGTCAGATCGCTTTTCACCAGTATGTTGGAGCTCTTAATGTCCCTGTGCGCGATAGCCACCTTGTAGCGACCGCAGGACGTATGGTCACTGTGGAGGTGAGCCACTCCGCTAGAGAGCGAACTTCCGAGCAGCCACAGGTCGCACCAGCTTATAATATGATGAGACAGGTACTCCTGCAGATTCCCCCTAGGGTGATAGGCCGTGATGAGCCAGTACTGTCTCTGCACCTTCCGCTCCTCTGCTGTCAGGAAGTGAAGCACATTCTCGTGTCTCAAGTCTGCGTCCGAGAAGATGTCCTTCTCGTTTTTCCAGGAGGCATACTCCTCATACCGGAATATCTTAATCGCCACCGTCTCGAACCCCTGCTCCTCGCCGCCCGACGAGCCCTGCTTCAGTTTCGCTTTGTAAACCTCTGCAAAACGTCCTTTTCCAACCTGAACGTCCAGCTCGATGGGCAGCAGCTCCGTGTTGTGGTTGAGATTATTGGCGAGCGTGGAGCTGCTGTCTGAACCGTCGTCTATCATGATGGCGTGAGCGTCACTGAAGTCCAGAGGGGGGCCCTTCTTGCGTCTGGAACTGGCTTGCCGCTGGCGGTAGACCCGGTAGCAGTAGAAGGAAGTGATGACGACAACAGCCATGACCATCAGAGGCACCAGGCTCACCAAGATGACCGCTACCACCTGAGAAGCCACGTCTGAGGGAACATAAGTGAAAAGACTGAGATTATGAGGTGCCCGGATACTTGAGATTGAAGCTACAATCGTGAATATTAACAAAAACACAAAGAACAATGTCCCCAGAGGATGATCTCTTCAGCTCTGCACAGGATTTTAGCATTGTTTAGCTCATTTTTGTCTTTTTCTTGAAAGCTGTAACTTTCAAATGGTTGCTAGCTGCCATTTTCAGTCACATCTCTCTGTACCCACACAGTGTCCGACCTGGTCAGTAGCTGGTGAACAAAGTGCAGCATTTTGCTGTTATGGAACAAGATGTTCTCCTAAATCATAAATAAATGACACAATCAGAAGTGGCCAGGAAAACGTAGATTGGAGCATCTACAAAATGAACTGTGATCATGTGATATGATCAAAACTTCCAGAGCAACGATTATAAAGGGATTTGAATAATTCTCTTGGGTTTCCTTCTTTTCTCTGCGTGAACAAGGTTCTTTCAAAACCTTGTGCTTTTCCACTTGTCCATTCTTCGGAATGTTGATTAACGGACAATTTGTTTCCCACAAGAAAACAAATTAAAGTCTAACTTGTTTCTCGGTAGATTGTATCTGGTCAAGACTAAAGCAGTATTCTAAGAGCAGCAGGGGAGCCTGACCCTCCCATGTGGAATGTCTATAAGCATCAGAAAGCTAAAGTTAGCGTCTCTGCCACAAATGCAAACAGCTCCAAACCCTGACCCAGTCAACCACATATTGTGTCTCTTTATAGTTTACGTCTGATTCTTATAATTTAGGAGGCGGTGCGTCTGGTAGCTGCTCCAGTCTTATAGGACAATAGTGAAAGTTTCATAAAAGAAGACCTATAAACTGTATATAACCAGACAACACATACGAAATTAGAGCACACCCACTGGTTCACAATGTGACGAGATCTAAATGTAATTATCTATACACTGTGTTGTCCAGATGCTCCCAGTGCCACATGGATTTGCTAAACATTTCCAATTTCCAGGTTCAGGTGTAGAAGAAAATAGTTTCTAAACAGAATTGCAGACAGGTGAATAAAAAAAATGAATAAAACAGATTTTAGATGAATCGTAGATGAAAGGAGCACAGTCGGGTCAAAATAAAGGAGGAGAACAGAATCTAGACGAGTGCCCAGTCAAGCCCTCTGCTTCTCTCTGAGGTTTTTTTTTCCTGAACAGGAAACCACATGTCTGAAATCCTCAACATGGCCCCAACCAGTTTGTTTTGATTTTCGTAGAGTGAGAAGCTCTTTCTCACAACAAACCTGTCACCGTGCCTCTGCCAGACAACTCTCCCAGACGGCTTTGGCCGGAGCGTCACGTTATATAACTTCACGTTTGAGGGGAAAAAGGAATCTGACGTCCAGCTGGTTAAATTAAAAACCATCAAATTAAGCTTTTCCTTAAACTGAAGTTTGTAAACTGACATTTTTTTTGAAGAGTTGGAGAAAAACAAAAGTTTATTTGCTTTCTTGCCAAGACTTGGATGAGAAGATTGACAAAAGTTAGAGTTACCATAGCAACTCTAAATATATTTTAGCGAGTATTTGAAAATCTTGGCTTTTCCTCTAAACTATGAATTAGCTTTGTTATTTTTGCAGCGTGTTAAACAGTTTAGAAAACACCAGTAAATGAGAAAAACACGTTGTTCACTAACTAGTAAAACATCTACTAGTATATGTGCTTTCGATTTCTGCTGCAGCTCTTTCATTACAGCACAGACTCATGTTAGACACAGAGAAGTTACAGAAAGTGCACAGACATTCTCGACAGTGAGCGAATGGGTTTCCATGACGTGGTTTTCACTGTGCAGATGCTTTCAATTTGGCTCCCTGCTCAGAGCCAGGTCTCGGAAATGTACCTCTGTGTTATTACTGCCTGGATGTTGTAGTCAAAATACATTTGATTCCAGGACCCGTGTTGTAACCGGAGTCTGAGGGTCAACGTCTCCAAAAAACCTGTTTGTGATCATGTAGCTGGAGAGAATTAAAGTGCGAACGTGTTCGCCTTCATGCATGACGCCTTACATGACACGCTGAAAGGAACTGGCATTATAATATTAGGTTGACCGTGACTATGACGTTACCATGTTGTGTTGTGCAGATGTGAGAAGTGCCACCTCGTACATGTTAAAGCTGAGTGTCTGTACCACTCGTCCACTCCATTCAGAAAAGTACTCATTATAAACATGACTACAATCTCTGCTATTCTGAAGAACACAGGAGGCCCTACATGACTATAAATGGCTGTGTTTTTGTTTGTCTGTCGCGTGTTACAAATGTCATCGATGATCCAATTCGCCTGATTTCCTGCTGTATTCTCCCATGGGATCCCTCGGACTTTCATTGGACATCGTACTCGGGGGCTGTAGGTTCCGGAAAATGTGCGGGGAGACCAGGGCTGGACTGGGAGAACAAAACTGCCCGGGCATTTTTTGGCTCAGACCGGCCCACATAATTAGCGGAGCACATCTGCCATTAAATTGACGTAACTTATGTCTTCTAAATGTACAAACGTTCTGGCCTAGTGGAAAAGGTGCACAATTTAACTAAAAAAACTCTCTTTCAGGTACCAAAAAAACACCAGGAAATGTGCAGTGACTTCACACTCAATTGTTTATTTAAAATGAATCTATAAATTTGTCGTGATAGCTGGCAGAAAACTTGGACGTTGAGAGAAGAGAGCCCCTGGCAGCTGCCGATGAACTGGCCTTATCTGCTCTCTTCAGTCCAATCAGCTCCTTGGACAGAGAGGGGGGGGGCACATACCCAAAATCGGATGTTAGGCACATACAACATCAGATTTTTAAAGCACAGATCTTCATGTTATTTCTTGATGGAAGTAGTCAAGACAAGCAGATTCTACGGACTTTGGGTCCTTGAAAAGCACATTATAAAATAAAGGTATTATTATTATTTATTATTAGATGGCGCACTTGTGCACTTGACTTCAGCAGGCACCGTTTCAGTGCGTATGGCGGCGTATTGGTTAGGTTACCCACCGAATAGTGCCGAAGTGACATCTGAGACACAAATTTAGTACCCCCCCCCCCACATGCATGGGCCGAGGGCCGTCAAAATGACATCGTGGGCCGCCGGTCAGTTTTTTGGAAAAAAAAAACGGGGGCGGCCGTCGGCCCTCGACCCTCGACCCTCGAGGGAAGTCGGCCCACCGGGAAAATGCCCAGTATGCCAGATTGCCAGTCCAGCCCTGAAGGAGACTGACCTCGACATTTGTTCTCTCACAAACAGCCCCTCATGATCAGCAGACTGCAGCTCCCCTCAGCTCTGGGGAGTGTTTTGGCATCTTCTATCTAATTGCTCTGGTTTTACGTCCTGCAGTTTCACTGCTTTGGTTCAGTATCTCTGCTCTCATCAGCCTTGTTTCCAGCTGTTTCAGCAAACAAGCTCTGATAAACCCACAGTGGGAGACTCGCGCTGCACCAAACAGCAGAGACACAATGATTCACCTAGTTTGTGAAAACACTGGAGCACGAGCAGCTAATGAGCAGGTCCCAGGTCAGAGGGGAAGAGATGGTGAAGATTGGACTAATGTTGCTTTGAATCTGCAGGGAATTATTTTCTATTATGTTCACTCCAGCTTTATATGTCAGAGCTGTGCCCCCCCCGAAAAAAACAGAAACAAAATCAAAAGAAGAAAAAACACAGCTGCTGCTTCAACTTACATGAGTTAAAAATGATGTGCTCATTGCACTCATCCTCCGAGCAGGAGCAGATGAAGAACTCGGCACCCATTCCCTTTCTTTCCTTCATCTCACACTTGCTGTTGTTGTAATCGTCCAGGACGAGGCCGTACAGCCTCTGAGCTGGGTTGTGACAGACCGTGTCAAAGGTGACGTTGTCGTCTCTCTTCCGCCTGAGAAAGAGAAAACAAAAGCATTGAAAACACTTCCACTGATTTGGTTTGATTTGTAGTCTTTGTTTTGGACAAAATTAACAAAGAATTGTTTTTTTATTTTCAGAAATCTGTATGATCATGAAACAATGGCAGGACTGAAGTTGTGCAAATAAAGCAGTTTTTTAGCCATACAGTGATAAAGTGGTAGTGTAAAGGCCAGAATTGTCCACAGTCTCAGCATTATGTAAATCACTGCAACACAGAGGTCACATTTACAAACAGCGTGAGTCTGAAATATCATTACAAACAGGAAACAAGGAGAAAACCCTGAACCTGCACAATACATGCATATTTAAATTCCGCCTCCCTGCAGAGCGGCGTTGCTCTGAGTGGCATTTTCAAGAGGTGCAGCCGTCCACGTGCCGTTGGCTTTCTGCTCACCTCAGCGCCTAACATGCCCATAACGTCCCTAATATAATTAGAACCAGCAGAGTGGCCTTAAGCCTTTAATACCGACACAAATCTGCTTCCTGCTGCTTCTCACATTTGGAGTCAGATCTGATGCTGATGGGTGGTTAGAGGCTCTTGTGCTATCATCTGCCCCAGAAGTGTTTAAAGGAAAAGGTCACTTCAAGCAAAGGAAACTGGTTCGAATAAGGAAAGATAATTCCCTCAGCACTTTTCTCTCCATTATGATCTAAGTTGTGAATATAATAACCTTTACACAACCCACTTTAATACTTCACTAACTATAACTTCTTATAATGCATATCCAGTGGACACTTACCATACACTGACGCACACGTCGTCATCCTGGAGGCAGATGGCCGTGCGGTCGCACTCCACCTTACACCTCCCTTTGCCTGTGCAGTTGGTTGCCTGCTCATCACAGAACTTGCAGAGCCTCTTCAACTTGATTATCATGGCCTCTGAAGAAAGAGAAGGGATTTGAGAGAGGAAATTGGGTGAGTAAACAACAAAGGTTCAGTCCAAACTGTAACATGGAGTCTAACAGCAAATAACAGGTTCAATTTAAGTGTTTTTAAGACAATGGAAATGTGATCTAAGACCAAATCTGTGATGGAAACACAAGCACATGATCCACATGGTTGAAACGCTTTCGACACACAGCAGTTTGTTTGATAACCACTCTCAAGCCACTAATCATTAAACTTGTATACTAATATATAACATTATAACTGTCCTTCTTTGATCTGGCAGAGTCGAGACGTTTTCGCAGTGATGTGCTTGAAAGAATTACGACCCATGCAATTCAAATTCAAGTAAGTATAATACTATTTAAGGCCTTTTATTTGAAAAACGTAAAAAAAACGCAAAAGTTAGTATTTCAACACACATGGAGGCAAATTCCTGATGAAAAAATACCAGCAACTATTTCCCAACACATCTGAGATCACAGAGGTTTCCATAGGAATGAATCCTCAAACCTCAAACCTGATGCCTCGTAGGTTTAACTGGTTAGTTAAGCAACATTTGACATTAAAATATTAAACAAAGGCTCGACCAGTAATGGATATGTGTTTGTAAAGTCTGAGATTCATTTTGAATTTGCCAATAAATCGGAGCAGACGCTGTATGTCTTTCTACTGCTCGGAGAGATTTTCTCCCTGTGAAGTGGGAACAATAAGAGCAGCGTTCAGTGGCATCCACCTCACTCTGGTCTTGTTCAGACTTGACTTTGCTGCAGGCAGACCCATATCAGTGAAACAGACAGAATTGTGTGATGAGCGCCTGTGGTTTTGATAATCATCTGAGGAGACAACTGCCAGACAGGCAAGAACAACAAACAAAGAAAACACGGATTCATCTCATCTGCTTCGCTGGGAAGTCTCTAATTTGTCAAGTCGGCTCCCCAACAAGAAAGGTGCTGCGCCAACTCATGAATATCAAAAAACAAGGGAGGAGGACGTTATGTATCAGCGTCTATGAATGTTTGGTGTGTGTTGTTAGGTTTGCTGTTAGTTCTTGGAATGATCAAATCAGCCAGGTATCATGCCTCTGTTTGAGACAGAGATGACAGACTGAGGGAAAGGAGGGTGAGCAATCCCTCTACAGAAAAATCCCACATGATTTTTGAGGCGTATACAATGTGGTATGATGACGGTAATGATGATGATCATGTGTACTTTAGCCTCTCGCTGCGAGTCTACTGAGTAAACAGAAAAGGAGAAGGGAAAAAGAGATTTCCACCTGGTTGGAGCTGGATCACTGAACTCCACTCCTCTTTTTAGGTTAATGTTTAAAAACTGAAGAATAGACAGGAAACCTCTAAATTATAAAAGCAGAGGAAGAGAATGACCATGTGTCTGCACTGCTACAGTTAAACCACTTAACCACACTTCCGACTGTACGCAGATACCACGTGAACAGGAAGCTGTTCCTTCCATCAGAATTATGCATCTCAAGAGCAAGCCGAGAGAGAAAGTGGGTTTGCTTCTACCGACGTAAATACCTCCTGCACAAAAACACCGCAGAGATATGTGTGAAGTGGTGGGTGTGTGTCTGAAGCTGCAACACAGTATTCAGTCACATGGAGAGAGACGCTTCAGACGGGAGAGTGTAAGTGAAAGCAGAAATCTCGACAGTGTCAGCAAAGGAAGTCTGCTCAGTATCTGTTTGCCCCTGAATTCACACTGACCTGAGGAAAAGGTGCTGTGGTGTGTGTGTGTGTGCTCTTAACCTGGCACAAAAAGCCTACTGTGTCATTTCTCCCGAGTCGGCAGGGTGGGGTTAGACCGACAGAGCAACAGAAATACTGTACAACCTGCAGCGTGAAAGAGCAAAATCTTTCACACAAATATTTCTCTCCGGCCTCTTGACTGAGCAACTCCCCCGAACAAATAAAACCCATCAAAATATTACACTCAAACTCCGGCCTGAATAATTTCAGAGCTATTTACGCCTCTTCAATTCTGCCTGGTGGGCCAATGGAGGGGTTTTGAAGTAAATCAGCAGTGAGGGGATAAGTCCAGCGGTGTGAAGGTGTTTGAGCCGGAGTAATTATATCATTAGAGCGACTCCTCCGAAGGAAAAGCACGTCATTTTAAACCCAGGGGGCGGGCTATTGAGGGGATGAATGGTAGTAATTGTCACCCGGGGCTACACATAATTGCAGAGAGGAGGGGGGGGGGAGAGGATTAGGAGCAGCCAAAGCCACTTGGTGCCGTTGGGACCGAGCCTGGGACAGATGAAGGTAAAACCCAGTCTTCCTCGGAGGAAGTCATGTGGCTGCCACATCAAAGATGGAGACAAACTGGGGCAGAGCGATACGACCAAAAATGATATCAAGATGAAAATGAAAGATATCGACGATTATCACCATAAATGTCACATTATTATCACTTTAACGTTTTAAGTTGAAGTTTCAAACTTGTCTTTATGGACTTAAGTCACAATCATAACAGGTGGTATCAGACAGGTAAGACACTTATAGAGCGGTGTCTGTTGTTTTTGATTTATTTTGTTAAAATTTTAAACCTAACCCTGGAGACAACCCATGTGAAGAAGTAGGACCATGAAGATATATCATTAATTATCATGATGTGGAGTGATACAAACATTTAGTCTTGATAGAATACTTTCTTCTTCGGATTTGTAAAATGTTTTGCTGTTTGTTTGTCATCCTCTGTCCATAAATAGAATATGACATTTATCGTGATACTTATCGTCATATGGGCTGATGGGATCATTTTCGTCTTGACATAATGTTTGGTAGGTAATATCGCAAACATTCAACATATAACACGAGTGCTCGCTATTCTCTGCTCATACAAACGATTAAACCACAAACTTCTCTCAGGAGCAAAAATCAGTCTGGAAGCTTAAAAGAAATAAAAAAAAGTTTTTCACGATACTACTAATAATCGTGATATCGCCCGATACAAACATTTCAAACTTTAATCGTATCGTCCGGCTCTATGTGAAGGAAGACTACAGGTGACACTGGAAGCTCAATAACCTGCGCACCGGAGCGGTTTCATTTATTATTTTTTGAATGATTACAAGTGATTCATAAACTGCTGCAGCTCTGAGGGAAATACAACTTCATTAACTTTAGTCCTGCTCGGTGTCGCTTCACCTAAACTCGTCCAGAAGTGTGCGTAAAGTTGGACTCACCCTTCTCCTCCAGCAGGAAACTACCGAACAGTATCGTTCCACACCAGAAAGCGGAAAAGCGAAGTAGCTCCATGGAGAAACGGACAACACACCTCCCTCTTTCTCATTAATTCACCGAAGACTTGGTTTGATTTCCAAACTTAAGAGCTGCTCCACGACCGGATAATAAAAGAGACGCGCACACGGCTCCGGGTGGAAGTAAACACACGCAGGCAGGAGTTGCTCTATACGTCTCACAGTATGTGCACGTCTCATGAAACAGGAAATCTTCAGAGGGGCTGGACGCTTTTTTCTTCCTCCCCTTCTTCTTCTTCTTCTTCTTCCTCTTCTTCTCAGTCTGACTCCTGTGGCAGAGTTGAACCCTGTCATTAAGAGGCTGGGACTTGAAATGACACGCTCTCACATAACCAGAGGCTTCACCTATAGCCTGCGAGTAAAAGCAAAACACCCTGATTCTCCTCAGAGTGTCCTCACAGCCCTCAGATCTCATTCAAAGCTGCCTGCTGTCAAAGAAAACTGCCTCTTACAAAAAAAAAAAAGAAACATTTATTTTTACATGTCCCTTCATCAGGTCCCTCTGCTCCATGTTTTCCTGGAGAGGGTCCAGGCCTCTCAGTTAATCAAGGGTGACATGAGTAAAGCCGAGGGCCCCTCCATATCTCAAAGTGTTGCTTTTTATTGAAGACACACAGAGGTTAAGTCCACCGTGACACCAATAAATCGCACCCTCTATGGCCCACATGTGTTGTTGCTCTGCATACTCCGGCCGTTATGTCAGGTTTCAGTCCTGACCCTGTCTCCGCACAGGATGTCAACTCCTCACACCACCTGACTCACCCGGCTTTATCAACGGCCTGAGAATCATCCAGTTCCTAAAGAGATGCGGCGCGTACATGTGTCTTTTAGAGCCGTAAACTACAGTGTGTGATTGTTCTTTGATTAAATACAACAACACCGGTTTTAAAATCCCATTTATAACTGAATTAATACTAAAATCTTCATTTATGGGTTGAACATGGGTTTTAACTCTCAGGTTTCAAACTGTTTGTGAACTTTCAGGGCCAATGCTAAAGTAGTGTCGATCCTCTACATTTATGTATATTGAAAAAGTTAATACCCCCTGAAAACTGACATCCTCCTGCCCCTCGACTGTCTCTCTCTCTCTCTCTCTCTCTCTCTCTCTCTCACACACACACACACACACACATACACACCCTAACTAACCCTTATGACTGTCAGGAAACTCAGAAGGTGTGATGCCGTCTACTTGATTTGACATGTCTGTGTTAAAAAGTGTCGTAGCTGGAGTCTTGAGTAATAGAGAGACAATATCTGAACGACAATAAATTAGCTTTAGCAAGTTACTTGGTGTGTGTGTGTGTTTTGGCAGTTAAGTTGTCTTCAATATTAAAGTAGTCCATTGATACGTATACATCCAGGATACATAGGAACTGACAGTGGCTAATTCAGCATACAGTTAATGGTGCATATTCGCTAGAATATAAACAAGTATAGGCAAAGAAAACAGGCCTCGCTGTCCAAACTCTGAGTCTCTGGTCTACAAGGGAAGGATTTCATTCAGCCCATTTCACTGACCTTATTTTACTTCTGCCTCTGGGTGGGTGTGGACGGTGCGGATGGTTGGATGTGTGTGTTTGTTCAAGCCTGTGTGCCAGGCGGCCATTCAGCTCTGCAGGATGGGGTCCAAGCCACGAGGTGGAGATCCGACAGCGCTGCGAGCCCAAAACAGCCATTCCCCGCTGACCTCAGCACATGTGGGCTCCCAGAGGGTCACAACATCCTGCTCGCTGACCACAACACCCAAACAAACTCTATTATAACTCTACTTTATCTGCCTCACTTCAGCAGGGAATACACAACACCCCAGTGTGTCCAGGGCCTATTTCAACCTGGTCTTTTTTAGTGTTGCTTCATGTGTCACTTTTAGCTCTTCCTCTGTCGCTGGTTCCTTGGTGTCCCTCTGCCTTTGAACAGTTTTTTCTCTTCCCTCATTGCACAAACACAGATAAACAAGTACCAGGCAAACATCCTGAGTCGTATTATACTCAAGAGCAGGTGCTTGACGTTCCTGTAAACTACTTTGGTCGAGTGAAAAGCAAACAGAGAAACCTGATGACAAATCTCTGGATGCACGCCTTGAGATAACACCGATGGCAAACAAACGCAGCATGCAGCACATTGCAAAGGCGCTCGTGGGTGTCAGTCTCTCTGCACTTGTCTAAGAAGAAAATAAGAGGTGGCTCTCCCACACATTACATTCACATAGTGCACGCACACTTTTGATAAGTTCTCTCCCCCGCACTAAGTGTCAGCTGGATTTGTGCCACACAGGAATATTGAGTCATCACTGAATACAGAGCTCAGTCACGGAAAAGTCCTGCAAAGTGAGAAAGATGCTGAATCGCTGTTGGAAACTGTGAATTCATGGCTCTTAACAAAGACACTTGAGTGTTCTGAGAAAGTTCAGCTCTGACAGGGTTTGAATTCATTCTCTCTGGACATTAAGTCGGTCACGTTGGATTTAGAACTTTTGAAACTGTTAGAAAAAAAGGTGCAAGGTTTACACTCCCACGGCATTTTGAATTTTTGAGTTTAGGTTCTTGGTATTTAAAATTAGACACGGTAGCATGTTACACAAGGGACGTCTCCCTCAACTGCAGCGGATTATCAAGAGTGTTATGTGAGCAGGTGTCTTCATTTTATTCACAATAAAATACTGTGATTTTTAAAGATTTCTTTAGAATTGGCTAAAATAGTCTCCAATGAACAGAACCCTGTAGTCTGCATGTCTTTGGATTGTGAGGTGAAGCTGGAGGATCCAGAGAAAACCCACGTGGTGAAAACTCCTCAAAGAAAGACCCCGGGCTGAAATGGGATTCAAACCGGGAACCTTCTTGCTGCCACCACCCTGTCAATAATCATAGCCACTGTTGGACACCACCATCTTGAGGCCGCTCATGTCGGGAGTCAGAGGAAGAAGATTTCTCACAAAGAACAGAGAAGTATATCGAGCCTGTAAATCTCCACCTCAGATTATATTGAGATTTCTGGCATCATCATAAGAAATGTGCTTCTTCAGGTGCCTTTTGAACACGACTGATTTGCAAACACTGCACACCATCTACTCTTTTAGCCACCTGGAGTTATCAGACAAGCTGCTGAATTACTGCTCACACAGCCGCCTCATGTCATTGTAAACCACCTACAATCACGTCTTTGTTACAGGATAAAACGCACAAATGCAGCTCACACCACAAGAAAAACACCTTTAAACTCGGCTTTTTGAGTCCCATAAACCGGGGCGGGGGTGTTTGCGCACCAGATAGCAATGTAATACAACTTGTAAATTGCTTGTGAGAATAGTGGCACAAAACAATTTTGAATCAGTGCCTTCTTCAGTTACACTGCACATGATTAAGGTGCCTACGCAACAGGAATATGAAATGTTTCTCTCACCTGCCGCGCTCCCTTTGGATCCAATCTGTCTGCTGAATGTGCCTCTTCAGTGCTTCGTCCCAGGAGAGATCACTTCACTTCTCATAATGTTACAATAACACTGTAGTGGTAGCTTTGTAAGGATTTAAGATGAATGCGCATTCATTATAGGGAGATGGGCTGTGGGATACAGAGAGCGAGAGGTGAAATCAAGTAAGTGAGAGGAGGCGAAAAAACAGCCAAATAAACAAGAAAAGCACAGATTTGCTCAGGATGCATCCTCGTCCTGTTTCTTGTTTTCTATTTCATGTGTCAGGAATAAATGCCTGTGTCAGGATTTGTGTATTTGAAGTCCTTCAGAAATAATAAAATCTACTGTGCCCTTTCTCACAGCAACAGTGACTGGAAGCTGACAATGTGATCTGTCTGTAAGGAGGAGCGTTGGACAAGAAGATCAATAACTCTTTCGTCTTTAAATATTAAGCTTTGCTGAGCTGAAACTGTTACTGCGTAAAAAAAAAACAAGCCTATAGGTTGTCTACGCCAACAGCTTCTTACAAACCAGTGATTATATTATTTGATGAACTTGTGCAGAAGCAGGTATGTAAAGCTGAAGGAGGAATGTTGTTCCATAAAACAAGAGAGGATTTTAATGTTTCCCCCAGTAGCTTCATCAGGAGTTTGAGGGGGCCACATGAAAATCAGGTTTTTTTCGGGCCTGGTCACACATATGTGAGTGCAAAGCGAATACCGCAGGTAAAAGTTCACCAAAGTTGAACCACGCTGCGATTTGCTTCACCGCAGCAAGTAAATGTTTTGTCTCCGGGAAGTGAAACACTGAAAACATTTCACGAATGTGTGACTGAACCCTTAGTCTCTCCTGTGGAGGACTGGACTTCCGTTTGTTCGTACCTGATTGGTTCTAGGTGTTCATGTGATTTCATGTTCAGGACATTTCCTTTCTGGAGAGACTGTGAAGTTGTTGTTCTGACTTTTGGCTGCGTTCATGTGCTTTGAAGTAGGAATGCAGCAAAAAAAAAAAAACATGAACGCGTTTAAACAGCACCTTGACGCCTCTGTCCAATATTTGCATTGAAATGAAGAGCAAAGAAAAAGTTTGACAGGCAAATAAGTTTATGTCTGAATTTATTTATGCATGTTAATCATAAAAATGTCTGTAATGGCTAAAAAGTTTCTTTCTGAGACTTTCTGAGTTGTTGGTCGGACTCAAGGTGACGCTCACATGATTATTCCAAATGGGAAATATTTTTTCAGATTATTCCTCTGGCTCAGAGATGATATCATGGTGGAAAACAAAATAGAAAGGCAAATGAGAAATCAAAGGGGAACTGTAAGAACTTAGTATAAAAATATAGGACCGCTAATGTGTGTATGGAGTCACAGTTGTATATATTCTGTATAATTAAGCCTGTAACAAATTTAAAACCTCAGTTTTTGGACAGATAAAATAACACATTTTGAGTTAAATTGTGAGTTTAGTGGGACTGGTGGTTTTTATCTCCTTGTTTTCAGTCTCTTCATATTTAGTACCCACGCTCGAGGAGGGGGGTTGTTATTCCCATCTAAAGCTCAGAGAAACACTAGAGCTCCCCACAGGAACATGACTCATTATAGTATGCATACAAACACATACGAATAATTTCAAACACACACACACACACACACATACACGTGCAGGAATCCAGGCCATGCACGCTGCAGATACAAGTGCTAAACACAACCCTGTGGTTTTAACTTCCTTGCACGCACTTTGCAGCTCGATCCGCCGGAAMAAAAAAAAAAAAACCAGAGGAAAACTGACTCATTGTGGCTTGCATGAGGGGCTCAGTGCACAAACACACACATGAGCATTCTTAGTAAACAGCCATGCACTATATCACACA